CTGTAATTTTCTTAAAATATTCTCAAATTCTATCAGTCACACTACCATTATATGAAAATACATTCAACTTATTATAATAAAAAAGCATCAGTTAGAATGTTTTCATATGGGCCATTTTTTGCATTTTCTGGTTGTACAAGGGCTCCTCCCACACAGCACAGAAAATGATTACACATAACAGGAACTTTTGTTATAGGAGCTGCCTAACGATTTCACGAATACATACTAGCATGCATGCTAGCTCCAGCCCCCTAAGCAATCTCATGCTCTCCCGCTTACAGAAACGCTTTTGTTATGTGGAACTGAAATATTTCTAAATTTACAAGGAAGTCTCTCAGTTCTCTCAGATGCACTGAGAATTTCCATGTTTGAATGCTCCCTCAGGCTTTTTTTTTTCCTATTTCAGTAAGGAAAGGATCCTGCTTTCAGGTGTGTGTTGTGTTTATATTTCCAGAGGTGTTATTAGCAACGATGCCATTGACCACAGTGTCCCATGTACAAGTAAGGCGGTTACAGACTTTCTTCTGAGCTCTCTAATGGACATATTATTTTCCAAGTTGCACTTACCAGGACACGGTTTAATATCTAGAAGCATTTTTTTCCTTCTACAAAATCTTAGTATGGAAGCAATACTTGAGATCTCTACACATTGCAGTTCTGTAACCAGTTTTGATGGAGAAAGCTTTAACCAAGGAAAAATTCTAAAATGAAGCAATCAAAGAAATAAAATTTCCACAAATGTAAATTAAAAAATGAAAAAAATCTGTAAATTACAGCACTAAATATGAAATATGAATAATTTAAATATGAAAAACTTGTGAACTCTAGGACAGCGTATTTATCTTTTAGCAGATATGAAAATAGACAAGAGATGAGTAATCCCAAAATATGGGCGTTATTCTTCATTACATTCAACTGTTATTAATATCTGCAGCATTCATTGAGATTTTCCTCTATGAATAAAGAAACCAGAATAGTAGTCTCAATGTTTAATTTATTTTGTACTTAGAAATTAATTTCCTGTCAGCCTTTTTGTTTCTTCAAAATGCTTCAAACCTGATTCACATCATATAAAAGCCTCTGACAACCTGCACAGGTTTTAGGAGGACTTAGGAAACTCTAGTATTAGCCTGGTAGCAATTTGCACTTTCATACAATTCCTTGTCATTTTTTAAGCTCTGAACTAAGAGTGAAATGAAGGTGTCCTCTTTTTTTCATTTTGTCTCAGTTTTTCTATATATTCCAGTTTTTTAACACAGGTATCTTTTACTGCATACAGTGTATATTAGTGACTTCACTACTAAGAAGAGGGTGATTTTGCCATAATAAAAAAATTATACAATAGAAGTATGTAGCTGTTTTGATACATGAGCAATTATATTTTAAAGGACTGCATTAGTCTTTAAATATGTATGGTAAAGTTTCTATTGTGGCACTTCTAACATGCTGAACTTCAGAAGTATCTCTGCATCTTCTTTCTGTAATGCACTTTCAAGGCAGTCATTGCCTAGGGGAACTAGAGCTCCCAAGGGCACCAATCAACATTTGGTAGGCTGCTGTGCTTGCATGGTCTCCCACTGAAATCAGTGGGATATCAAACAACAATATCAATCCAGCAACATGTAAGAAATCACTAAATGAGTACCTAAAAACAGACAAAGAAGGTGAGATAATATGCTAGAATTAAAATAGAGAATTGCAATTATGTTTTTCAGCTGCAGACTTTTAAGGTATGAGAGACCTGCTGAAAAATATCCACAACTGAAAATACATTATGTTCATTACCTTGATTATATGTGCCTACTTTGGAATTTATCTGACAGAGAAAAGCAATTTAGATCTTTCAATAAGGACGAAATGTGAAATAGGATTTCTGCAGCTTAGCTTAATTCATCAGCCTTCTAAGTTGCAAAAATAGAGCAACAAACGCAGATTCAAAATCACTATTTTAATGACAGACTTATCCTTACTGAAAACTTTACTGAGGTTGTATATTCCACAAAGACATAATTTGTCTTTGCGTAATACACGCAGGGTACAGGAAAAAAAAAAAAAAAGAAGCTTCACCTTACAGCAAGACTGTTTACCCAAATGAAAGGAACTACCAAAGAAACAAAAACGTAAGGCAAAGCCAAAGGGAGAACAGGTATCCCATTGTGCTGCACTGAATTCTTTTTTCTTTTTCTGCTTGATATCATAAGACCCGTGCAACATCTGAAATAACTTCAATAATAATGTTAGTACCTACGTACAGTTCTTTACTCTAAAGACTGACCTGTGATTCTATTCTCCCTCAACATTAGTTATTAGCAGAGTTATCATTTTAATTCCAGAAACAGAAGGCCATGCTGGCACAGCTGAATCAAAGTTTCCCTAGTATACATTGCCAGAGACAACTACAATATAGGAGCATCATTTCCACCAATCTGCTCAAACACTACTACATCCCCCTGTTATCTGCTCTTTACAGCTTTAGGTACAAAACATTAAAAAACAAACATAAAGCAGATGGTGACAGCTCAGAGGACAGCAGTATGAATGGCGACACATACAAAAATATGACCCATAGACTCTGAGAATTCAAGTCTTCCTAGTCATGAACGAAGAAGACTGAATCTCAATTTTCTCATATATATACATAATATATGCACATATATTAAAAATTGTGCATCTAGATATCTTGTATACACACATAAACTTACGTATATATGTACATAAAAAAAGAACAAAGAGAATAGAAACAAGCTGCTGTCCATGTTTAATGTAAGATAAGAAGTACGAGATTAAATCACAACGAAGATGACATAAGAATTTTCCAGTAGCAAAACCATTCATCAGTTCACAGAAATCAATTGCCTATGAGAACTGTGAACTTCTGTTGCTAGATGTATTCTACCCTAATTTTTCTTTTTTTTTTCCAAGAATTATATAAATAAAAATATTCAAGGAGTGGTTCAAGAACAGCTGATCTCATGCTGTAGGGAACAACTGGACAGATTGGTCTCATTTCAACCTTTTTTTTTTTCTTCCTAATACATCACCTTTTTTGAATACTAGTTTTCATGTAAATTAAATTTCAGCTTCCTTTTTTTTCTTCTTTTCTTATTTGCATTAATAAGAACTAAATCCAGCATTGCACTCCAACAAAATATGGCATGTATTACATTTTAAAAGTCCTATTCCTGAGAGACTCTTTTATAAGTAAAACGAATAAGAAAATGAACAAGAAAATGAACAAGGGAGTCGCAGAGCATTCTGAAGAGCTATTGAAAATATTTATAACCTGTTCATTAAACTTGTCAAAACAGGGTGTAGCACAGATAACGACTTCAAAATACTTCAATTTAAGTACATTCAGCAATGCCTTAACAAGACAAAACTAGACTTTAAAAAATACCCACATTAAAGAAAACCTAAAACTTCGTATCAAGCATCAGACACTCAATATGCGTACTATGTGGTTTTTGTTTTTTCTTTTAATATGATGGCTTTGTCCATATTTGGTTGAGATTGTTTTGACAGAAAAACTGAAAGCACTGAGCAGTAACTAGTGACTATTAGACAATTCAGATCTATTAAGTCCTATTTGCATTTGCACTCATTATTTATATGTAAGCTCTGTCTTGCAGGAAATTCTTTTTTTTATTATTACCACAGTGATAAACTATTTTTTTTTAAATCTCTGCATCTTAAGTGGAATTATAAAATGTAATTTTGCAAAATTCATATTCTTCATAAAACTGATAGGTTTCCTCCATAAATTTATTGTCATGATTCCAGTACGTGAATGTACACACATAGAAATACTTTGCTAGCTGCAGGATGTAAATACTAATCAAAAGAGTGAAATTCACTACTGAAACAGCCAAATCCACCTTTTCCTTGGGAAGAGGCCTTATGCCTGGAGAACATATGAAAGCTGAGTTCAAAGAAGTAATTCTTAATGTGACTCAGAAAAAAAATGCTATTACTGGGGCTGCAGAAGCTCTGTTGGGGAGCTGGTAATCACTGGTTAAAAACAAGCACTGAAGGGAAAATGTGTATTATGTTAGAAAAAAGAAAAAACAATCTTAAAGATGTCTACAAGTACAAAATATTTCATCATCTCTTTTTCATCAGTGATGATTACGCAGCAGATTTTTGCTCTATAGGATTCTTAATTCACATTCAGAAACATAAATGGCTCTTAATTTGCTGATATAGACAGAAAGCTCCTATAGCCTGAAAAAGACAGAAGTGCTTAAAGGGAAAATAAATCAAAACCATAAAATTGTGACTTCAAAATTTCTAATTATGATATTCCCTGAAAACATTTAACCTACAAAACCAGTATGCTTAGATTATTTTCAGTCATGATCTCTTCTTGGAAAATAGCATCTACAGAAAATGGTCATAAAAAACAACACATTTGCTTCATTAAATGTAATCCTTTTCTTAAAATGAATGGTACAAGTCCAGAAAGGAAGAGACTATGATCATCGGCCAAACGATTATTAAATTCTACACTAATTAATTCTGCATTATATCCTATACTCTGAAGACAACATTTAAATTAAGTAAACTGGAGTAGAGAAAACAATTAACGTTCTAACCATCAATAAGATTTTTAATTGCATTGAGCCAATTTTATTTTTGGCCTACATGAAGGACAGAATATTCCAAAATTTCAGTAGACTGCAAGTCTACAGATTGATTTTTTTCAGCAAGCAGCTCTCAAGACAAGAAAAAGTGACTGACTGCAATTAACCATCCTGAAAAGGAAGTAGCTATGGTCCAAAAGCATACCCGTATTTCTAAATTAATCCCAGTCATCATGTATCACTGCCAAAGTTCTGTCATAGCTAAAAATGTAAATCCTGTATAACTAGGAGCAAAATCTGACCTTTTTTTAAGGTTTCAAATCAAGGTAACTTCCACAAAAACAAAAACAAACAAAGCCCAGTAAATATAATTGTATGGAATTCTGATAATGACCTAGTTTGGTATCAGTTTCCACTTACTTTGGGTTACAATTTCCTGTTGGTTTCATATGGCAAAACAGTCTGGAAAACAAAAATAAATAATTTTATTTAAGAGAGAATTGCTGGAGAAGGCATATAGTTATCTAAGCAGTTTTAGTTGACTTGAATTTCAACAGTTGACAACTTCAGACAGAATTACACAGAAATGCATTGTTTAACAGCTGTATTAAATAAATTCTACTTTTTCTGCAAAGACTGTCTGTTCATTTATGGTAAATACAGTATCACAGGTTTATATCTTAAAAACACCCAAGAACTGGATGATCTGGAAGCAACGAGACAGCAGCATGTAAGCTTCTTACACCTTTGCATAAATCTGTATCTCCTTGAAATGTTCAGACTGCTACCTTCAAAGCTACTAACAGGATGTTGCAAAACCAGAAGGCATGAAGTGCATTTTCTGATATTCAGCAGTGCTTCTTACAGTACTTTAACACTGAGGAGTTTTCAGAGATTTGCAAGACTCATCCAGAGAAAATATTTCTGTAGTGAAAGGATACATGAGAAAACTCACAAGATTGGCAGCTGTGTGAACAAATGACTTAGCAGACTGCATCAGATGTGAATCCGTAGGAGACCTATATGATGAAAAGGACAGCTTCTCCACAAGTAAGCTCAGTTATTTATTCACTGTGATAAGTTGGTTCACTCTTACTGTAGCTTTTTATTGTAGCACCAGGAACTACACTACATATACTACAGAGGTAGCATGGTATATCATAGATACTTCTCAAGAATAAGCTATGAAAATATCTATCAGATGTCCCTCAGATACCAGATATCTATTCATGCTCCCTATGGACTAACACCAGTCAGTAACATCAGCCAGCAAAGCCATATACAAAAGAGAAAGAATCCAGGTTCCAACACATTTTGAGAAGTGCAGGTGTAAAACTGAAGTCTGTATCTCTTACAATTCACTATCAAACTTCCTAATCACAGAAGTTTCCAAGGTTAGCCAGACATATATTTTGTCTTCAGATTAATAAAGTACTTATTTTTGCTTTCTATAGGAATGTAAAATAAAGCAATGCTAAATGCGTACCTCCAATGTTTTCATCTTTTATGTTTTTAAGCAGAATTGGCTTTCTTATTGGAGTATGAAGAAATGAAAGTATGTTTATTACTCCTTTGTGCATGGAAATTCTTTAAAATTGGTTGCCCAATTCTGACTATGAAGGATGAAAATTGCTAGAGCACAAAGGAACTAATAATGAGTTCTCTGAAGTTAAACATGCAGTGGGGCACAGATGCAGGCTCTGCAAGCTACCAAAAAGAAAAAAAAAAGAAAAGAAAAAAGAAAAAGAAATTAATCTAGACAGTAGATGCTTGTTGAATTTCTCCACCATCATCAACTGCTTATTGTCATGTTACATTATCAATAAATGAAAGATTTAAAAGGTTTCAACATTTATTAAACTCCTAATTGGAATCACAGATACTGAGATCTGAGACTACGTCAAGTCATTTTCACTGATAAGCAAGCTCATCATAACATCCTCAAAGCTATTCAATAAATATGCATGAGTAGTTGTTCAAGCAGAAAGCTGTTACTTGCCTCTCCATAAGAGTAAAAAGTTTGGGATATTTTCTTCAGACATAGATGTATCTAAATGAATTGATTTGGAAGTAAGTTGTTTGATCTGAAGCTGTTCTGAACTGCAAAGATTGATGCAAAACAAGAAAGAGAAAAAAAAAGAATTAGGAAAGCATTTTGAAGCGGTTATGTTTCACAAATTCAATGAAATGGAAAAAATAGGGGAGTGTATAAAAATCTATAGCATGTCTCAATTCACCATTTTCAATAATGTGCACTGAGAAACCCAGCGCAGAAATTTTCTGACAGAGAAAGAAACAGAGGTTTATGTTCCTGCCTGAGAGCTTACAAAGTCCAACAGGAAAAGTGACTGTACTGGATTTGTGTTATAACAGGGAGTAACTTGTAGTTTTCACTACATTTTTCAAACAAACAGGAAAAAAGCTCCCCTACATGTAATTGGTCCTAACATCTAGGATTATCAGTTCAGCTTGAACCATATTTAGGAATCAAAGCATATGAATACCCTCATCATACAAAAAATTATCAGGGACATCTAAAGTTATAAATCTTTGTGAATAATTACAGCTCATTAGTTTGTTTTCAGGTAGTAGTTTAAGATCCTGGAATTGGGATCTGCTAAGATCCCAGTGGGTGATTGCCAATTTATTTTGCTATTTATCATTCAAACACAAATTTCATTCTTTCCTAAAGTAAAGCGCAAAGAATCAAAAGCAGGATTCAAAAAACGAAATGAAGAAAGGAATTTGGCATTATTTCACAATTATGCTCTTGTGCTGCTCTCTTATCTGGGATTCTGCGCTCAGAAGTGGGAGGGTAAACAGGTGTTTTGCAGGCAATGCAGATGAGACAAAATGTTAAGTATGCCATCAGGGGATGGGGTGACTTCAGACCCATAAGATAAAGACTGAAATACTCCTGGTAAAATAAACAGCAAATTCTGAGCTTCTAGATCTATACAGCAACCCAGAGGCAAACCTGTGATTTGTTAGTTGAAGAACAGACTCTTCTAAAAGGAAACACCTTATCCTCTATGCAATTTTCAAGCTGTCAAATATAATCTTATGATTTTATTGCCCCTGAAGTTGAAAATATCCTCAGGGAAAACATTAGCCTAAAAACAAATTGAATTGCAGACATTTTAATTTTAATCTGCTTTACTCAATATAGCTTCCTCATTCAAATGACTTTTGGTTGTTTTGGAGCTACTCTGTGGTTGACCCTCAGGAATTGTGACTGGGTACAGATAGGTCTGAATCCTATTGCCTATCTGACCAGAAAAACTCTGTGGATACAATCTAACTTACCTAAAGCTTCCCAGTCTCCATTCCTATATACTTCATAGAACTTATGGAATAGTAAGTCTAACAAACACAGCCTAGCTCATTTTGTGTACATTTAGAGAGATAGCTGCTTTTTTATTTCCCACTGCCTCCAAGCAGTCAGAAGCTCTGGTTCTACAACTAGGAATTTCCACTTATTTAAAAAGTGAGAAAACAGCATAGATAAGAAAATAGTAAAGAGGAATCCTCTCTCTCTGACAGTGAATATTACAGGTATTTCAGATCCGTAGCAGAGGAGGAATACTTCTGCAAGTACTTAAGTCATGTCTGATTTATGATTTTTTCAGAGCAGCAGCATATCTGTTTTTGATAGATATCTTGTAGGTAAGCATTCACAGGCATATAAAACACATTCAAAATGTTTGGTACCAAAAAGAGTGCAAGTGTGCTAGAGGACACCTCTAGCCAGGCAAATAACCCTGCTGCTTTGATCCTCTTTGAAATGAGAAGGGAAACAGGGTAACCTCTTAGCACCTCCAAGTCTTACTTTCCTAGCTACATTACACGAGATCCAAAATGAAGCAGACCTCCTTTTAAAAGCAGACTAACAAAGAGCAAGGAAGCTTGAAAATGGTCTTCTTTGACAAACCAGATAGGATGTACCTACTAGAAAAGGCCTTCAGGTAATGAAGCTTGCTGATTCACAGCTTCTGCACAATGACATCACTAAACAAGACACAGGCCATCTTCTTTTCTATTTGTTCATTTGGTCATACTTCTCCAAAATTATCAATCGAACAAAACGAACAAAAATCAAACACACCACTCCTCTAAGTTCTCACAGGAAAAAAACAAACAAAATCACTCAAAAAGGTAATGGCTCTACTATGCTGCCTCTTTGAAGGGAGAGGAATGGCACTGCAGCGTTTTGGTTGGATGTTAAAAAAAAGTCATTTATTCTTCTGCTGTTACAGTAATCTGGATAAAATGAAAATAACTATTTCCTGTAAAGTGGAGATGGAAAAAGAAATAGCCGTGAGGAGGGACTGAGTTGTTGACAGTGAAGCTCCATTAATCTCCAAAGAATCAAGCATGTCTCTAGGTAAATTGTGGATAAATATTCCATAGTGGAACGAATAACTGCCTTTTGTTTACCTGGGTTGCAGCAGGTGCCAGGGGCTGCTTTTCCTTCTATCTTCCCTCTCTTCATAACTTTCAGTTTAGAAGACATCGGTGAGGCAGTTCAAGCATTCAGTGACAGATCAGCTTGAGTGCAAGTCTATGAACCATGGATTTTGATAAGAGACCAAATGATTCTTGCACTGAGAGACTCTATACAGTTCTTCCCTGACATTTTATTTCAGGAATATTACGTAACGGAGACGAAAAGTGTGAGTACATTTTCATAAATACATTGAAAATACATAAGGACAAACACCAGGCCAGCGCAAGAGCTACTGATGAGCATAAATAAAATATTTGGGAAGGAAATTGTGTTTTAGGGTCTGCCTGCCTGGCAGATTGTGTAAGCATGTAGTCTGGACAGGACAGCACTGAGACTATAATGTGAGACAGAAAGATGTGACCAGCTACAAACCAGAGCTGTGCTCTGCTGAACAATGCAATGAACAGTGCTTCAATACTTAAAAGGAGCTTATAAAGGGCGACCAACTTTTTACATGGTCTAATAGTGAAATACAAGAGGCTTTAAACTAAAAGAGGGGAGATTAGATAAGATATTAGGAGGAATTTTTTTATTTTTTTTTTTACTCAGAGAGTGGTGATGCACTGGAACAGGTTTCCCAGAGAAACTGTGGATGTCTTGTCTTTGGAGGCATTTTAGACCTGGGCAGCCTGAGCTGGTGAGTGGCAGCCTTGCCCATGGCAAAGGGGTTGAAACTACATAATTCTTAAGTTCCCTTTCAACCCAATGCATTTTATGATTCAATGCCTCATCTTCCAATATTTGCTTGAGTTCTGTGCACCAGCAGCCATATTTTTACCATGATGAGCAAACACTCTCCAAGCTCAAACCCATGATCGTTTCGCATTTAGGTCTGCTTGCATGATTTAGTCAGAGATTAGTACTCTGACAAGTTACCCATGCAGAATCCGTTATTTTGGTCATACTTCCCACATGACAATCTTTTTATAACTCAGTTGTAAAATCTATCCTGTAT